CATTTCTTATGTCATTGTCCGACGCAGCTTTAATTCTTCCAATATTGATTTCTCTGATTAATGCCTTTCGAGTACATTATTGCCAGATAATTTGTACATGACTGATTATAAAAAATGCCCTAGAGAATCACGAAAATATTAAAGTGCCCCAGGTAATCAGATAATAAGCATGCCCCACGTTCTTGTATACTCAATTTAACGTGGAACACATATACCAATATGGTGCTTTAATGAAGGACTTAATGCATCATAATTACCATTCCCACGTAATCTGCTGATACATCTGACATTATTTACCCCTTAAACTCTCTAAGTCGCATTTTATATCTCTTAAACACTTCACGGGAAGCGTGCTGTCCATGGAGTTTGAAAATAATAAATAATACCAACTAATTCCTGCAACAGGACTGAAGTGTCGCCATCAGCACTGGTAAAGCCTTCAAATTAGTAAAAAGATAGTCAAACAGATAGAACGGATTCATGGTACAAAAGAACTTGTTTAAATCGATACGGCCTAAACTGATAACTTGTCTTAAGTGATAAAATGTCCTGGTCCCGACCTGGAACCCATAGTAGAACTGAATAACCTCCGTAATCTGCTATCTGATAATTTTCCTGACCAGTACGTTGAAAAACGTAGTTAACAGCTCCCGGACTGATAAGTTCTACATAAGTACTACTTCAACTAGGTCAACATAGTTCTGAACATCCTTCTGTACCTTCTGGAGAATTCGGATAGCCGTGATCTTGTCCTGTCTCTGCCGCAAAGTTCACATGATCTGGTTCCTTCGATTCACTTGCTGTATTCAAAAGTGATCAAGCGCTTGAATCATCTGCTGCGCCTCAGCAGCCAGAATCGGAGGAAGCGCTTCATTGTCGTCTTCTTCCGCAGCTGCCTTGTCAGCCTCAATTCTATTGTGTCTTAAATGACCTCGTCTAGGTCCGGCAGGTAAGTCACCACCACCGTCTAATCTGAATTAAGAAGAGTCCGGATGTCCATTCGGTTGTTGTAACGGAGCTGTTGGATCTGTGACTCTAGATATCTGAATACCTCCTGATCCAAGTTGCCCTCTTCATCATAGATGGCGTTTGCTTACTCTTGAGCGACTATAAGTTGCCATGGCTGCAAATCCTGCAGTATTTAAGCCGTTGGCAAAGGTCGTACGTTTGAACTCATCATTCTATACCAGAACTGCAATCATGATTGCTTGCAGGTATCGATCTTGTCGGGACTCGGTACCTTGTCATCCATTCGCTTCCAGAGAAGGCGGTTGAAAGAGCGCCGATAATAGGCCTTCAGGTGTCGGATAATGCAAGCATCACAAGGCATCAGCTTTGCCTTAAATTTTGGTGGAAAATAGTACACTGACGTATTTTTTTTAGCTGGATGAGGACCAGGAAGATCAGCCAGGGGCACGTGTGAAGTGCAAATTGTCCAGAATGAGTACAACATTTCTGCTAACCATATGGCTATTAAAATCCTTAAGCCAATCATAAAAATAATCTGGTTTATCCATACTTTGCGTTGCCGCGGTAGGTGCAACCTAGGATGTTGATATTGATGTTGTTAAAGCATTAAGGTTTCTTGAAGTGTCCGATGAGCTAAAAACAAAGCTTTAAGGCTTCTTAAAGTTTCTGATGAGCCAAAAACGAAGCAGAAGCGTCCCCATTGCATCAAACGGCGATAGTGAGGCGCTATTTGAGCTTTTACCAACATTCTGGCCGCTTAATCGCAAGGAAATGGTCGACCTGGTAACATGAATAATGTTTATAATGTATCATAACATAAATCATGCAGGGAATCAAATTATGCCTGCACCCTGTAGAACAGTCCTGTTCCGTCCATGTTGTACACGTATTTGATTAAGATTACACGAATTCTTGGCCGCTCCTTCTCTATAAGCGCCATATAAATAGATCCGCTTTCTCCAAAGCGGCGCTACAAACGGATCCCATGACGGCCTTGAAGGAATCTAGCCAGCCATTGAATTATTTGAAGGTGGCATGGTCAGGGTGCAGACGGTAGAAGATCTTCCTCGCACTCTTTTAATAAGATCTTCGGTCATGTTGTCATGATCCTAATTGGCAAAAAGCCACTCTGCCAAAGCCTTCTCCATCTCAGGATATTTCACTTGCGCTGTCGTTTCTGACTGAAATTGACGTTTTCTGCCATTTTTAGCAGTTGTGCAGAGCGCTTGAGGGTGGATAAAATGATTAGGTTGGCTACCTTCGTGTTGCGTTTTTTTTACAAAAGCCATGCCTGGAGCTCTTTCTGCATGAGTTCGTGCTTGTTCCTTTTGTACTGGCACAGGGCGATGCGGATCTCGTGCGTCGTTGTCGTGCGCGGAATTCCACGCTGCGTCATGTTCAAATGTAGTGCAGTCTGTCGTTTATTTGTGCTGTAGATGTCACTACTGAAAAGTGAACGATGCACTATAAGTATAGAGTAAAGGTAATAGATTAAAGATAATTTAGCTGATGAATTCTCTTACCTGATAAATTTATCCGTTCCCAGCGCTATCAATTTAGACAAGTTCTTCAGTAGTCGATTTAATGGTCACATATGCTGAAGTTACTATAGCGCACGAATTGGAAGGTTATTCCGACCCCACAACTGAAACAAATCCAACGGCAGCTTCGTAGTACCAAAAAAGGGTACTAACATCACGAGCACAAACAGCAGTAGCAAAAGGAGCCCGAGAGCAGTAGTAAAAGGAGCAGTAGCAGCAGCACAAAACAACAGCCGCACCAGTACCAACAACGACAACAGCAGCAACGAAAACAAAGATAATAGTGACGTCAGCAGCAGCACCAGCAGCAGTAACAAAAACAACAGGAGCATCATGAATAATTTACAACAACAACGGCTACAGCAGCAGCGGTAGATGCAACAGCGGCATGAGCAACTGAAACAAATACGACAGTAATAACAAATGTGTTAATAGAAATAAATCACAACACTGATAAAAAAGATATGAAATTAAACCATCAGCTGCAACGAAATCAGCTCCGGTTGTCTACGTTTACGATCGTGGACGACGGTGCAAAGGTGCGTGCACATCATTCCTGTACCGTTCACGTCCACAATCGGTGGCTGGGAGCGCAGCAAGCTTGCGGCAGAGCCCCCTATAAAACTCCCCTTAGGGACTGGTGTAACAGGGCACCCTTAGCTTGGGTTCCACGAAACTTCACGTACACTCGTACGTGCAGGGGAAGCTAATCTACTCAAATAGCTAGTTTGAGTAAGGTTAAAAAGAGAACTGTATTTTATATAGTTACGCTATTAATGTAACTTCAGTGGTTGATATGTCTTTCATCAACCAATCTTTGAGCAGCACGCGAATTATCATTATTATTGTCTAAAAGGATAATTTTCCTTCAATATTACCTGTTTCAGGTAATACTGGCAGGGGATTGTCATACTAGACAATCTCCCTATTGACACCGTTTGGTGTCAATATCGTGTAATGGGCTACCCCGTTTTGGCAGGTGTCGAGCACAGCCGGGATTGAGATATGACTAGGTAAACGAATGTTTATGTGTACCACGTTAACTCGAGCATACAATGACAAGGGGCATTTGTTTACTTTCTCATTTTCTGTGCCATTTTTATTTTCTGATTTTCTGGAGCAATTCCATTTTCGTGATGAAATGGATCCTTTTTCCTAAATTATAAGCTATCGCTGCACTTATTTACCACCTGCATTCGGCAGACGTGCATAGAATGCCAAAAACGTGAAAATACTACTCTTTGCCCACCGGCCACACTATCGGCTAAATAGTCGTTCATAACATGCTGTCTAGCCCTTCCAACTACCCGTTGTATACCGTATCTTGCATACCTTACATACACACAATTCCGTGTTGTTCATTAGGTGCTTCTATTGTTCGGTCTGACATGTCCGCCATAGCACCTGCCATTTACATCTACAGGCCGTGTCACGCCAGATCACATTCTCGGCTTAGAACTTGACGTGCTCTGCTTGTGGCATGCTGCACTGAGCATCAAGTACAGCTCAACATTTTCAAACAGCATTTTCTTGCCCTTTGTGGGCGATGTGCTCAACGACAAGGCACAGAACGAGATCATGTCAACCCCAGCTCTTGCGGACCGTGCTAAGGCTCCGAATACTGAAACATTCTGAATGACCATGCTCAAAAGTTTAGCTCTGCACGTCCCTTACCACACGTCCACTACTCGAGCGCGTGCATTTTCTGCAGTGCCGAAGTGCTAGCAAAGCAGCTTCTCTTCGACCTCCGTCCATTCGAACCCTTGTCGACGTTTCTCCCACCGTAGTCCTTTTGGACTCGCTGCAGCGATCTCTCATCAAATGAGACCACGGCCACTGTCAGCCTCGAGCAATAACGTTACACGTCTTTTAGCGCACTGACGAATGTATCTGTGCAATTGCAAACCAGATGTCAAAGTTGTCGCAATGCGATAGCACGAGATCATGCGACGACTTGCAAGTCTGCAGTTCGTCACTCAGCTGCTGTGACTTTGGTTGCGGTCGCAGCCACGTTTGACAGCAAACAACTCCAAAAATCCAGATATGAGCTTAAATTGTAGTCGGCCACGATGACTCATGACATGATATGCAGGCAACATGCGTTGTTCGCGTGTTGTGGTTAGACACTTACATAAACTCTTGAACTGCGATAAAAATGCGCGTGCGTAACCGGGTAGGACCCGTGAAAAGCGTGTCCGACAAGTCTGTGCAAAAACTTTTCTGTTTGGAAACACTCTAAACAGAATAACTTTAGCCCATTTGACTACCCGGCGCCATGAGTCGATAGTCGTGAATGGTAGCGTCAAGATTCGACAACCGGAGCAATAATCAAGCAATCCCGTCCGTTTACCACACACACAAGTGCTACGTCGTACTATTAACTAGCCACACGTCACAACACACGCCATGATACATTGTGCGCAGTGTCTCCTCGATCCACGCAAGTTCGCCACCACATTTCTCTGTACGCCTCAATTCACAACCAAGAGCTTATCGTTCTAGCCCACCCCACATATACTTGTAAATTGAAGAAGCACCACTGGTGAGTGAGCTCGCGACGGTAGATACTGTAGCTTCCACGGCTTCAACGCCAATCTTGACAGACGAGCCCACAGATGTCATTCCTTTCGACACGGTCTTTTCGTTCGAATGAGCGTGCACAAAGTCACTGAGCTTCATACCAATTCGTTCATTTAACTTCCCTTCCATTCGCAACATCAGCGCCGTAGCTGCTTCGTCGTCCGATTGACCTGGCAGGAAACGTTCAATGACAAAGGCCTCAAGGTCACTTTGAGTGTAGTTCACTCCAAAGTCCGTGATCTCCGGAAGCGCCTTCACCACCAACGTGAGCATAATCATAAACAAACTCACGTGCCTCCTCAAACAGTTGAACGCAATCACGCACAGCTGCTTAAACTGCTCAAATTGCTGTGTCTGCATGCCTCCAAGAGCCTCGATCATATAGTGGTCTAATCTCATTGGGGGCTGGAGCGGCTTTGGATCCTTGCCCAGGATGAAACCGTAGTCGATGTGAAACAAGTTCCCATCCTTTGTCAACATGACGTTGTCGGCGTGTCGATCCCCCACACCCAACAAGAACGTGATAACCGTGTACGCAGCAAGGCTCTCCCTAAACGCGGAAGAAATGTCGCTAAGCGTGCGATGGCCGTTATAATGGTGCAGGAAGTTCAAAATTGTGCCATGGTCTCGGATAATGGAGTAGAGTGTGTGTGCATTCTCCACAATCTCGATGAGCCCGTCAAAGCTACTCGTCGGTAGCACACGGTACGTCACAAGGGGAATATCGAGCCGAGTCTCTTGCTTCAAGATCAAATACATGACATTGATAATGTTCTGAACGATCTCGTCTTTCCGAAGATCATCCCGCTTGTACATGAACCGATAGTGAGGCAGCTCTAGAGTACGTCGACTCCATGTGCTCCGCTGAGATTTAGCCCTAGCGTTCGCAGAGTCTTCAGCCTCCTCTTCTTCGCGGTTGACCCCCGTGCATGTGATGACAATGGGTGCCTCCGCACTTCGTTTCACCTCTATCTTCTCGTAGTCGATTCCACATACCTTCACATGTGGATCAACAGGTAATCGTAACAGAGGCCATTCTTGTCCTCTATCCGTTCTTGATTGACTTGAGTCGTTAGACATTTTGCCATCCATCCACGTTCGCAGGGATGACTTCTGTATAAATGCACACAAGATCCTACGCGCGTCTTCGACTGGAACGCGTGGTGGAATCTTCCACATCATATCCACTAACTCCTGGCCTCGAAGAAGCTGCTCTGCTATATCGTCGCTAGCAAAATTCCGTGACTCGACCAGGTGGACAGGTGCAGATGCATTCTCAAACTGCGTCAAAGCAAGAAGCAGTCGCTGCTTCATGCCATCAAATCTGCGGCGACAACTTGGGTCTTCGGCCATGACCGTAAGTCCCCAATACAAATCGTAGCAAAAGCGTATGTCGCACTGAGCTTGACGGATCAGGGCTTTACCAAGCTTGCAGCCAACCACGTTTGACTCCACACTCAGGCTGTGCAAGAGTACTTGCAAGTAGCTCCACCATTCATTATCCGTTGCAGACTTCAGCAAGGCGTCAGTAGCCAACGCACGCAGCCGATGATTGCAAATCGTCTCATCTGCGAGGATTTCCAGTGCGTCAACGCTACAAATTTGTGGCTTGCACAAACGTGAGCACATAGTTAACATACACTTGTGCTTGCGCTCCTGTTGCAACAGTCCTATCACCTCGTTCACCAGCTTGACATTTACTTCGTGCCTTCGCCTTGCACTAGCACGTTCTCCAGTATTGTCAATAGTCTTATTGGCGATAATGCACTCTGTCTCATCCTCTGCCGAGAAGTCGACGGCTTTCACGAGTTGCAATAGCCACTTTGTGTGACCGCCGAGGAACTTCCGATTCAGAATCAGCATCCTCCTTTCTCGCTCGGACAAGCGATGTGTGGGTAAATAGTACTGTATCTGGCGGAACATGGACAGGCACATAATTGTTGCACGATGCCACTTGCGACACACTTGGCCGAGCGTCCGTAATTCCTGCAAGTCGAACTCGCAGAGTTCAAATACTTTGACAGTGTTGTAGTGATGTCGTCGCTGCTGGAGTGCACATGCACAATCGTCACACACTCGTTGCAGAACACTGTTGTCTGGTATATACACCGACTGGTGTGTGTTTGCTACCTGCAAAGCTCCACTGCTGGCTAGAGGAGACGACGAACTACTACTCCCAGTCCTCGCACGATTCGGCGTAAATTTGCTGATGGCGCCTGTTTCCTGCAGTCTTTGGACGTCCATCAAGAACCGTTCCTGCTGCTTCTCGCGTGTCAAATCCATCGACTTGAACGTCGCGCGCGACTGTGAAAAGGGCGATCGTGTCGATACTTCACTCCACTCGGTCCCTGCCGTTGTTGCGTGCGGACCCGAGTACGACGTCAAGTACCAACTAATGTTGCCAATCAAGTCACTGGCATTCGTCGTCAACGAGTTGTACGCGGGTGACACGGGCGTGGCCTCGTAGTCGCCGGGGATCACAACCCGTTGACTCGAACACGTCGAGCAAAAGATGCGGCCACACGCGCGGCAATGGTGCTTGCGAACGAGCAAGGAGAAGACCGTGTGGCACTTGAAACACGCACACACAGCGTCATCCTGGACCCACGACGACAATCGTCGGGGCTGTACGAACCGGTACATGTCTGGCCCAAACTGTCCGTCGTCTCCATTAGTCCAATCACTGGGTAGGGAGCATCCAGTAGTGCTATTGTCCCTGTCTAGAACTTTTGCACCCATTTCTGCTCTTGTACCCATTTCTGCTCTTGTACCAAACTCGTCCTGTTCTTCCAGTATATCTTCACTGCCTTCGTAGACCGAGTCGAGCATGCCATTGTGACCATAGACAGGCGGTCGTGAGTCGTCGTACGTCAATAGAGTCGATGCGTGCGTGCATGGCCGCGCTGGAGCGGCACTGGTTGGAGAGTTAAGACCGAAAGCAGCTTGAGAACTGCCGCGCCGTTGCTGTTGCTGCTGGTGCAACGCGCTACGAGCTTCCAGAACCTGAGAAAACGACAGATCGACAGCGGACGGGGAGATCTCGTAGTTATACATGATGCAGGTGGAGAGCGAGGGTGGGGTCGATGGAAATGTGGACGCAAGCGACGGCCACGTCCAGCTGCAGATGCTGGCGAGTGTGAGGAAGACAGCGGATGTTTTTGTGCGAATTTCAGCGAATCAGCGTGGGAGGAATTCCAGTGCCCGCAGTAAGACGGTTGAGACAAGCAAGCTCAAAAGCCAGCTTCTTTTTCGTTTCTTTTTCGCTTCTTTTGCTCTTCTTTTTCTTCTTGTGATTTGCCTTGGCAGTACCTGAAGGATTGATACGCTACCTTGTCAGTCGGTTGCCACGGACCATCACTCCGGAGAAACGATCTTTTCCAGCCAATCGAGTCACTTCAACTTGTTGTGCATTTTTCATTGGTGGAAAGGGGTATCTTCCGATCGAATTGATGGCTCTAACGAGAGCGAAGGGGGAGGAGAGAGGGGGGATTCACTTTCGAAAGACTCTCGAGATCCGCAACAGCTTCTTTTGAGCCCAAACCCCAGCAACGCAGAAAAGAAGAAGCAAAGGAAACCCCAGAAAAGCAACGAAGCACCAACTGCAACCAACCAACATGGACAAGGTAATGGAATACAAGGACAAGGTCTCGGCCAAGCTCGAGCAGTACGAGAAGCTTGTGGAGCTCGAAAAACAGACGGGCGTGGACAAGTTTTACATCTTCTGCGCCGTGACGCTGATCGCCGGCGTTGTGCTGTTTGTGGCGGGCGGCGAGGAGCTCGTGGTGGGGCTCGTGGGCTTTATCTACCCGGCGTACATGTCGTTCAAAGCCATTAACACTCCTGGCCCCGTGGACGACACGCAGTGGCTCACGTACTGGGTCGTGTATGCGTTTTTCAACCTCACGGAGTCCATTACGGACTTGGTGCTGTCGTGGATCCCCTTCTATTTTTTCATGAAGGTTGCCTTCTTGGTGTGGAGCTACCACCCCAGTACTCAGGTACGATTGAGAAGGCTAGTGTCTTGTTTAGTACTACTGGGAAAAGAAGCTGACGCTTGATGTTGCTTGTATGTTGCTTGACAAATGTGCTTGGGGAGTAGGGCTCTAATGTGATTTACAATACGCTCATTAAGCCGTACGTAGCCCCGCACGTGGGCCAGATTGACTCGGCGCTCAAACGTGGAGAGGATGCTGCCAAGGACCTAGCAGCCAAGGTTCAAGACAAGTCGGAATAAGCGTGACACGTGGCCAGGTGTGTGCAGAGGGGCAAGGTGTAGGGAGAGGAGTGATTGCGCCGTTGGAGTCGTTGGGACGGGACGATAGCTTTCTGTAGCCATTCACAGTAGTGACGTGTCAATGAAGAAGACGTGGTTGTCTGCTGCTAGAACAGGGAGGTCGTCACTTGAGATCGGGGTGTTGGATGGATTTGAAGCAACGTAAGAGACCATAATACCATGGCATGAAAGGGGACACGTTGCCTGTGAGTTTTTTTTCCAGATCGTTGACAAGATCGTTTTGGTCCACATAGACTGCGGCACGTGTCGCGTAATTACGGTTTGTGTGAAAAGGAAAACAAGCTTTGTTTTGTCTTTGTTTTTACAGTTGTGGGTAGCCATATCTTGTAGCGCTATTTACTTACATTTGAGTGGTCAAAATCCACCAGGATCGGACGGCATTTTACCCAACGGAGTGCGTACGTGATTCCGTGGACGTGATGGCGGTCAGCAGCAAGCCGTTGCCAGCGAAAGAGAGCGCGCTCTTTCGCTCGATCGTGGTGCGTCTCCATCTCCTCCATCTCTATTTGTGTCCCTCTATTCGTCTTCGTCTCTCTCTCTCTTTCCCTATCGCTCGTTCATTCACTACGAGTGTTCTCTCTCTCTCTCTCTTTCCACTCGTGTCTCGCGGTATACTTACACAAGTCACTTGTTTTTACTATGTTGAACTAGAAACACTACGAGCTCAAGCAATACAAAAAAGGGCTCAAAGCGGCTGATGTAATCTTGAAAAAGTATCCGGACCATGGTGAGACGTTGGCGATGAAGGGGCTCACGCTCAACTGCATGGGCCGCAAGGACGAGGCGTACGACTTTGTCAAGAACGGACTTCGCCACGACTTGCGCAGTCACGTCTGCTGGCACGTGTTTGGACTGCTCTATCGCTCGGATCGTAATTATTCGGAAGCCATCAAGTGCTACCGCAATGCGATCCGGATCGATCCTGAAAATCTGCAGATTTTAAGGGACTTGTACCTGCTCCAGGTGCAAATGCGGGACCTCAAGGGCTTTGCTGAGACACGCCGTACACTTCTGATGCTCAAGCCCAATAACCGGAACAACTGGATTGGCTTTGCCATTGCCCATCACTTGGTGGGCAATTACCAGATGGCCATTGATATTATTGACAAGTACTTTAGTACTATGGACAGCTCCAGTGCAGCCAACTATGAAGACAGCGAGATTCACTTGTATCAGAACCAGTTGCTGGAAGAAGCAGGGGACATTGACAAGGCACTCGCCAATTTGGAGGCGAACGAGCGTCAGATCACTGATACGCTGGCATGGCGTCAGAAAAGAGGACAGTTCTTGCTGCAGCTTGAGCGATACGACGAGGCGCGGGACGTGTTTGAAGAGTTGTTGGCGATCAATTTTGACAACAATGATTTTCAACGCGGACTGCAGTGTGCAATCTTGAAGCGCAAGGATCTGTACGGCGCAACTACCTCGCAGCACAAACAGATTTCTCTTCCGTCTGAAGTGGTTGACTTTTCGAAAGATGAGATCGGGCCAGAGCTTGAGAAGGCCCTTGTAGACTTCTACGCGGAAAAGAAGTTGACCATTGGTGCGAACTCGCTGATTCCACTGCGCTTTCCCATGGATTTTGCGCGCGGTGAGGACTTTAAACGGTACGCAGATGTCTACCTCAAAAAGCAGCTGAATAAGAACGTGCCTTCGCTCGGGTCGGATCTGAAACCGCTGTGTGCTGACAAAGACAAAGTAAAGGTACTGGAAGAGCTCATTTTTGGCTATTTGAACACTTTGGAAGCTAAGAAACCCTTAGATATGGGCGACAATTCGATGGCAGCCAACGACACGGAACGAGTGTTGCTGTGGACGAACTACCTTGCAGCGCAGCACTATGACCGCTTAGGCAATTACGCAAAGGCAATGGAGTTCATTGATAAGTGTATTGGGCAGGAACCGACGCTGCTGGATTTCTTTCAACGCAAGGCACGCATCCTAAAGCACATGGGTGACTTACACAAGGCCGCCGACGTAATGGTGGAGGGACGCAAGCTGGATTTGGCAGACCGTTACATTAATAACAAGGCCACCGAGTACCTTCTGCATGCCGACCGTGTGGAGGAGGCAGATGCCACCATAGCTCTGTTTACACGACACGAGGGCGATCCGCAGCAAAACTTGTTCGACATGCAGTGCATGTGGTACGAGATCGAGTGCGGCAAGAGCCATCTGCGCCAGAAAAAGTACGGTCTTGCGCTCAAGCGCTTCTTTGCAGTAGAGAAGCACTTCAACGACTTTGTGGATGACCAATTTGACTTCCACACGTACTGCATCCGCAAAATGACGTTGCGTTCGTACATGCAGTTGTTGCGCCTCTGCGACGAGATCTACGGCCGCTCATTCTTCGTGGAGGCTGCTCACGGTGCCATTGCATGCTACGAGGCCTTAGCCGAAAGAGAGAAGGTGAAGGCAGAGGAGGAAGCGAAAGCTGCCGCAGCGAGTGCCAACATGTCCGCTGATGAAAAGAGAAAGGTGAGGCGTGCTCTTGCTAGAGCGCGCAAGGCCGAGTTCAAGAAGAAAGCGGAAGAGGAGTTGAATGCGAAGTTGCACAAAGAAGTCGAGGAGAAAGAGCGGGAGGCATCGAAGAACGTCAAGGCTAAGGCGAATTCAGGCACCACGCGCCCTAAGGACGATGACCCACTCGGTGAAAAGCTCACGGAAAAGCCTGCTCTTGAGGAGGCATGGCGCTTCGTAGCGATTCTCCAGCGTTATGCCGCAGAGGATGTGAAGACGCACCTGGTTGCGTTCGACATTGCTCTTCGTAAGAAAAAGTTCCTGCTGTGTTTGCAGGCTCTTCTGAAGGCGCAGGCGCTAAAGGTCGTGTCTGCAGAGGCCAGGAAGGAATTGAGCTCCCGCCACGCTTTGTTCCTTGAGGCGGTGGAGCAGGTGACGAATCCTGTCGTGCTGAAGGTCATCGACGAGAAGAAGACTAAGCTCAAGAATTAGAAGGTGGTGGAGGGTAGTGGCTCGAGCTGTGGGTGTGGTGCGGTACCAAGTGACTGGGAGCTTTCGGGTGGCTGGGGAGCGCTCGTCCACAGCTTTGAGGCCAGGTAGAGAGAGAGAAGATGCACCGTCAATGTGCTTTCGTGGACAGTAAAAAATAGAGTAACGCAATGCGTGCTGCGCCTGCCAACATGGTAAGCTCCGGCGTGTGGGTCGAAGCGAGTCACATCGTGGCAGGGTCGCCACTCGTTGTTACTTCTATTGAGACTCTTGACATTTTTTTGTGTTCGAAGAAGATGTGGGGCAGTCGATACGTATCGACTCGGGTGTTTCAGAGACGCTGCTGTTCCGTGTCGTTGTCAACTACTTCAACATCCGCTCTGGAAGACCCTCTGAAGCTCTATGTGGTTGCTGGAGAAGCATCGGGTGACGCTATAGGGGCCAAAGTCGTTCGTGCTTTACAGCGTCAACAGCCATCACGAGCTCTAGAAGTTCGAGGAATTGGCGGGTACGACAACTGTAGCGTCTTTTTTTGTACGAAATTGGCGGGAATGATCGGATTCTTCTTTTGTCATGCAATGAATAGACCAAAAATGTGTGAAGCAGGACGGTTCAAGTCTCTTTTTCCGATGCACGAGCTGTCGATCATGGGGCTTTTTGAAGTCGTGCCGCATATTTGGCGCGTTCGGGTACTGTGCCGCATGCTTGAAGTTTGAGCGTGCTTTATGAGCTTTTTGCGAAATGGCGAGATGATGAGGTCATGGTGATTTGATGCAATGGCAAAAGTAGCGGCGGATCCAAGACACACTGCGCGATATTCATCAGTTCCAGCCCGAGCTGGTGCTGACAATTGACTCGAAAGGCTTTGCGTTCCGAGTGTTGAAAGCTCTGCAAGCAAAGGAGCGAAGGACTGGTTGCAAGCGCAGTAAAAAGGTGCATTATGTCGCGCCGTCCGTTTGGGCTTACAAACATCGAGGCAAGCGGCACTTCGCCGAGCTTGCACAACTGCTGGACGCGATGTTCACGATCTTACCCTTTGAAGAGGACCTTTTTGGCAATGGTGAATCGAACGAGCGCTTAGAAGGCGGTCGTAGCGACAAGTCCAGTCGATCTTGGTGTCACTTTGTGGGTCATCCAGCAGTCGAAGACTTTTTGGAGGCCACTGGAGCTTACGAGAGCGACCGGAGCTGTTTATTACATACGGATGATCGTTTTTTACAAGGCGAACTCACTACGGGACCCGGTGCTTTGCTTGACTTGGAAAAGTATGATGCCATCCATTTACTGGCAAATGGCCGGCATTTCCAGAGATTGGCGGCATCGGGACGCGAATCACGAGTCCGTGATCGTGTCCGAGAAAAGTTCGGCATTCCTGTTGATGCATTTGTCATCTGCGCTCTCGTTGGCAGGTATAAGTTTGGGTCTGTTTGGATTCATCCTGAATGTACACTTACAATGCAGTAGTACCAGTGATGCTAACATTGTCCTGCTTTCTCCAGTCGTACGAATGAAGTGGATAAGGTATCCCAGCTTGTGCTCGATGCCATTGAACGGTTTCAACGAACGAAAGATATGCAGCGTGGCCGGCAGCAGGTAAGGCCTCTTCACTGAAACCACCTTGGATTGTAGGCGATAAATCGAGTTCCAGTGACGTAGCGACTTGCGGCTTTGTAGATTTTCGTGGTGTTCCCTACGCTTTCAGTGGTTGAGAAACAAGTCAAGGCCCACCTTTCTGCTTCCAATCATCGTGTCCCGAGCCGTGTTTTGACTGACCTCGACGCAGCAACTCGGCTTGAGCTCTTTCAGGTAGTACGTGCTCCACATTTAACATAAGGGATCATACACCAACCCGCTGTATGTGTAGAGCTCTGATGCCGCAGTAGCCATGTCCGGGACGATCGTGCTCGAGACAACATTGGCTAGCTTGCCCACGGTCGTTATCTACCGGGCCAACAGGCTGACCGAACGGGTTGTGCAATGGCTTGCGGCAGTCCGGTTTGTATCAGTGCCCAACCTTATGCTAGGAAGGCACGTGCACGGCTGTTCAAGCTTCGTTATGTCTTTAACTCATAACATCTGTCAATGTTCTTGTGTAGAATGCTGATCCCAGAACTCCTGTTCAGGGACTGCACGGCACCAAAGATTGCTGAGGCACTGGCGTAAGATGTACGTGTAGTTTTTCATCTTTTACATCATTTCATGTGCTGCTGTTTGCACAACAGGTCACTTCAGCATCATCCAAGCACGGAAAAAGACGCGCCCGAACTCGCTATAGTCTCCAGCACTTTATCCAGGTGGCACGAGTCTGACAAAGTCTCAGCCACAAGCAGCAGGTTGCAGCCAATTCGGCCAAGTGACTTGGCAGCAAAGTATATCCTCGAGATACTTGCAGAAAAGTAGACGCCCTGTACTCGAACTTGCGGTTTGTACAAATGAGGTGAAGGACCTGCTGGAAGAATGAAGAATGAATGGAGTATGAGTGATCAATCATCGGACATTGGGAAGCTGGAGCCAAGAAGGAGAGATACCTCGATTGGCCCTGCCTGAGAAGCTTTAACGAGAATGGCAAATGGGAATGTCACACGGAACGTGACAGTCGCGCGAGATAACTTCCATCCACGTGATACATTCGTATTGTGCATGTCATGTACGCATGCCAACACAGTACGTCAGACACAAAAGTCAGACAAGATCGTCTCTCTTCGACCATTCGGACTAGGGCTCCATCCTGTGCAGGATGAGACGCAGGATACTGCGGGACGAGATCATGGACGTTCTACGCTACATATGTTTCGTAGCGACCAGATCTGCAGACTCATGATCGACTCCATGTGCGCTGAGGGCACTAAAGAATGAGGATGCATGTTAAAAAGTCAAGCACTTCTCCATGTAATCAATGCTTACCTGCTGACCAAGAGTAGAAGCTAAATACCTTATCAACTCGATCCTAATCGGTGCTGCTGATGGCAGACACATGCAAGAAGGGCTCGTTTCAAACGTGGTGGTAACGACGTTACTAAGGTTTACCACATGCATCAACATTGATGTAGCAAAGTTTCGGTGAGTAGCGAAGTCTTGAAGCATGAACTTGTCCAATTTTGTTGGTCTTTTGGGGTGGGATTGCTCATAGGCGGCTTAGACGTTTGGTGAAATAGTCCAGCCTCTTAACGAGGCTTTTGAGCAATCGAGTTACTACTGACGGAATCTCACTTTCATCGCCGATTGGAATCGCGAGGCCCCAGTAGGCTAAGGAAGTCGATCGGATCGTCCTTAGGGCAGTCAAATCCTTTGTTTAAGCATCGATCATGCCCGGATGCATGCCTTGATAGAAAGATCGAATAATGACAACAAAGCTAAATTTGACGATGAAAGCTAAATTTGACGATGAGCACACATAAAATCGATGACGCAATCATTTTTACGCTCTCTTGATTCCCACATAATTTTAGAATTGTAAGAAATTAATAGAATATCGACGTTACGTACTAAGATAATTAAAAATGTGGGATGTGCTGGACGCGCGGGATGGGACCGGTTCATCATGCACACCGTCCCATGCGGGACGGGATGCGGGATCCCGCGGGATGGGACGTTTCGAGACGGAGTCCTTATCCTGACCAGGAAAACCGTGAAAAACGGGCGGGGCTAAGTCGTACTTTGAACTCGGCCATTCCGTACTGCAAATAATGAATTGCAAATCCAGCCCCGTTCGAATGCAAACATTGCAAAACCCGCACCAGTTGTATAACCAGTACCTCCTGACGGAATTGATGTGCATCATTCCAATCATGGTCACGTGACCGATTCATTTGATTCTCTACGCGCCAAGTATAAAATTGGAGATTCGTTATTACCCCCCAACCTTTTTGTTTTCCAGCCCAGACCATTCAAAAGAGCCTCCGATTGCTGTCCTTGCACAAGCTCAGCGAGCGCTACATGCGGCTGCACACCTGTCGACTATGTCTTGGCACAGTCAGCGGCGTGCTCGTGGCTCTCTTGCTCTTATTCCTTCTCTTCTCTCGGACTTCCCTCCTGTTGTCCACAGATATCGTTCACAATCAATCCGTATACGCCGGTCCAAAAGATCTTACGGACATCGCAATGGGATACGAAGCCGATGGAGGCTACAATCAGGATGAAGAAGGATAGGAGACGTGGCTGCAGAACCGGGGACGTAACGAACGACGCTGGAGTCAATTTAAGGCTGTCCGATGCCACGTAGATTGTGCAGCTGGGACTACGACTGCGCAGTCGCTGGTAGCAGGCTTTTTATTGATCTGTACAATACGCTGCAGTCAGAGCTCAAAATAACAACTAATAAGTACAAAAAAATGGAGGAAGAGAAGATCGTGTAGTTTGAAAAGATTAACGCTTCTGGTTACACGTTGGTGCCTAGACCTGGACGACGAACTCGGTATTCGCTCATGACCATTGATATAGTTGGCGCACCATCATAATTCCCATGATATGATGCTTATAAAACAGCACTGCATGTATACCCTTGAATTGATACTCACATGCAATGCGAGCGCTCATTGCTCTTGAGCGCACGGTAGCCGCAGATATACCACGTGTAGTGTGCGTGGTCCCGCTCACCCCTTGCACAGCCCGTCGAACGCACTCACACAACTACTGGATCGTCTCAGTCTAGTGAAGCACTTATCCAGCCATGGATCCATCATCTATAACACGCAGGAAAAGTAGTCGACAGGACCAAATACACAATACATACAATATCCTTGATTCTCATACAGGTCATTCACATAGGGTGAAAATCGTAACGATAGCATTTTACACCAGTAACGTCTTATATATGCGGTACCTTCGGCTTCGATAAGTTCGATTCCTATCGCGCATGATCTGAATCTAATCAAAAACGAGTGTCGCATAGTAACATGGAATGGTCGTCAGTAAAAAAATCCTAAGTGCAGCATATTGATACCTTACCGTCACTTTCTGTGCTTCGCCCTCTTCCGATCTTCCTTTCGCATCTACAGCGACCGAGGCCTGCACGAAACTCCCCCAGAGATTTCTGGTCAAGCTAGGGACGACCCACGACGAAAGTGGGTGGCGATGAGAGGAGGCGGAGGGGGGTGGATCGTCTTGACTGGCTACTGCAAATTGAGTATGAGAGGACAAAGAAATGTAAAGAATGATAGCGTGGTACACATTGATTTCGTGCTGAAGTGGTACTGATTTTGCAACTGGTGCGGGTTTTGTGGTGTTTGCATTTATCTAGTGCTGGATTTGCGATGTACTCTACTGCAAACGCGTCAAACGTTTTTACGGATTACTGATTCGCATAAAAGTTCAAGTAGATTCGTGTTATACTATAAATATATATATGTATATGCACAGAAGTTTAAAGGTGCGAGTTTGTACAGGTTACTTGAACAGGATCCAGTGCGGTTTGGATGGCGACTGACGAGGAAGAAATAGGAGAAACAAGCTTTGACTCCGATATCGTGTTGGGTAGCGCAATCAACAAGTGCCGCGACCGCAAGTAGTTGTTGGCAAATGTATGGTTGGGAACAGGTGTTGTCGTCATCGTAATTGTCGAGTGTATCATAAATCTACGTCCGATGCCGATCCAGGCTGGAGCGTAACATGAGAAAGTAAAATGAGCCAGAGCCCAAGACTGAGACGGATTCTGTTCGATAAAACACACCGATTGATGACACCACTTGAACTACTACCACTTCAGCAACGAAGTCGGCAGTCGCACATAGTAGCTCAAACATCACACTTGTGACTTCACGTGTAATTACGATGGATGCATTCGAATCTTTACTGGAAAAGTTTGATGAACTTCATCCCATAGCTGTTGCTGCTACAACACATAAAGTGCTAAAGGTGGGAACAGATCCGACGACAACTGTAGATTCGGTCGAGTTTTTGGACAAAGCATGATGACAGGGTGCCAAGCACGGGCACAATGTGATGTACGTGCAACGCAAGGAAGCACCGATCAGCGACATAATTTGCTATAATCAAAAGCGCGCCGAGTTTTGCACGTAAGCGCCAATTGCGATTGCTGCAACTGCGACTTATTGAGCAGCGCTCGTTGTTAGTGCAGCCGAGCCCGTATTGGTGGAATGCTTGGTGTTAGTGGAAAGACACAACATGGCGCTGTTTTAGTGCATAACAGACATGATACAACGTGTTTGCGACTAGGCCATCTGAATCCAACATTCAGCTTTGGACTCTTCCGCAAACTAAAACAGCCACATCCGACGCGCCAGGCAACCCCTCGCTGACTGTAGCAGGTCACACTAGGGGCATGTGAACAATTCAGTCCAACACGATAGAAGCGGATATTCTATGATCAACATGCCACGATCTCTCGTTGCGCTCTTGGGATGTATAGACAAGGCAAGAGATTACGTCTGAAGCGCAAGCTGGATGGCATCTCATGGAATACGATTTTTTGTAGATGGTGCTCTGCTAGCCACAGCAATCTACTGAAGCTACACTTAATGTTCATATAAAGCTAGTTTACAGGGTAACGTACAGGTAGCTAAAATCAGATAAAGGAAGCTATACAAACTCCGCATGTCTGAACTTCTATATATAGCATATTACAGATAAAATTCAATGCTAAAGCTAAGTGGTTGTGCGCAATAACGTTTGAAGCGCTTTCATTATGGGATAGCATAATTCATAGTATGGATTATCCTCGCCCTGACAAACATAGGTGTTCGCTTATAAAACTTTGGTAAGGTTAAGCTATCCATTAGCTTAGCAAAATATGTATGCCAAAAAAGATGAGAAAAACCATTTTCTGCTGAAATTTACCAAGATTGATTCTAAAATTAGTAGATTCTCCCACTTTTTAAATGGGCTGCAGTTCCAATTTTATGATAGCCTGCTCAGGTTAATCTGCGCCCCTGACCTTTCTCGCAGGCAACTACCGTGATACGATCTCTATATTGAGGCAGCCGAAGCGTGTGTGTATGCCTCTTGCGTCCCCACATTACGTGTCCACTCTTCGATATACTCTTAAGACCAGACCAGGATCGCACGGGCCGTTATGTGGATGAAGAACATGGTCAGCGAACTATGATATAGATAGAAGGACTAATTTCTCGACCCGTGATGTGGGTGACTCACTGAAGTTGCGGATCATCCGGAGATTCGTCGTGTTACATTCATTAAAGAAACGGCGCGTCATTCAATCGACACAGTATTTAGTCGAATCATATGTCAAATTGTTGATCACTGGACTGATATGACCCTTTCTTCTGTTGTGCCGTAAAACATCCACGACTGATCGATAATGAATACAAAAGTGGTTTGCACCGGCGCATCTGGCTACATTAAAGCGAGCATCAGCTTCACTACCACTAGTGTCAAAACAGTAAGGACACCTGAAAATTGTTATTGTTGTCTGTAATAAGCTAGACTTTTACTTACTACCCGTTGGTCTTAGTAAATATTTAAACGCATTTCTGTGAGCGGACCAACCATCGATTTGATTATTTAGAAACCTTTCATTATTTCCATCGTTGACATGGCATTACCACATCCATCCTCTGATGCAACAGCTTCTGCCTATTCACATGATGATGTTTTTGCAAAAGACGACGAAGCCATTTAATGGAGATGTGAAGAGCTAGCATCAACCGGGCTCTTCTGCAGCTAAAAGGAAGCTGTAGCGGCCGTCATACAGTGCTTCGTACGCCCAGGCTTTATCTATAGCATCTCTCGCATCAATAGGGTCAACAACAAGCATTTTTTTTGCTGTACGAAGAGAAAGCGCTACAAGCGATCCCACGGGTGGCCTATTGCAATATCGTGTTACTAAAAATTGTCCAGATGCTTGTACGAGCTTGCAATCGTCTACGATAAACACGCTCCGGAAGAAACTGCCTGGTCGACGCTTTCTATGAAAATTTGCCGCAACGGCCGTATACGATGTTTTGACGGAACCATGCTCTTTGTACTACCAGCGGCTCGCCGTATGACGAAAGAGGGGAAGATGTCGACGCCAAGGATGTACGGATGCATAAAGATGGAGCTACTCTACGGGTCAGTGTGCATATTGTACACTTAAAAACCATTTTTATTTATTTGCTTGCTAATTATTTCCTCGGCAAGCTTATTTTAACAATATTAAAGGAGGTGGACGTCCTTATCACGGCCAGTGATAAACAAAATCTCGATAAAAAGGCAAACTTAAAGGCCCGGAGCGGTAAAACTACATGAAGGCGTTGATGGAGCACCAGAAGAACTACGCTATTGATGCTACGGTCGCGGTCGACGCAGACGATCACGTCTGGCATCTCTTTTGGTAACCACAAAATTCAGCTGAATTCGTCTGCTGATATCACAAGATTGTTGTTATTAATTGCAAGTACAAGACGGATGCTTACGGTCATCCGCCCCTGTACGTGGTCAAATTTACGTGTACAATCCAGATTTTGCTGTTGCAGTTGGATAAATGGAAGGTGAAGTTTTCATCGACTGCGTATGGAGATTAAAGAGATCGACAGAATTCTTCCTCCTGCTCCAACTATTCTCGTCGTCGATTGTAATGTTGGTCTTATTAAGTCTATTACTGAGAAATGGTCATGCAAATCTTTCGTAATCTTTTCGGTCCCATATTGCGAACAAAATCAGTATCCATTACCGAAGAAAGTTTCTCAAATGCTGGGAAGGACAGCTGAATAGCTTTCATGGACCATTAAGTGCTATCGTCCATGCGCCTACAGAAATTTTATTCCTGCAAATCTGGAAACAGCCCTTAAATATTGCAGTAAGGTTGATTTCGCACGAACCTATAGTTGTTTGATCGACAGTTACATTTCAATATTGATACGTATTTGATCTTTCCTTTTTTATATTGGATAACAGAACAATTGTAAGCACCGATAAAAATGAGTTTTCTCTTCGACACCATTGGGAATCAGTCAGCATAGACCGACTTCTAACCTTTTGGACACACAGTCAGCTTAAGTTGATGGTGCGCATCACGCAAACATCATAAGCTGGCTCAACAGCGCGAGCGAAACACTTATCGACATCTATAAAAGAAACTAAGGAGTGTTGAGTACAGTTACAAACAAATTAGCAAAACGATCTCAAAAGGAGGATGCGAGATACTTACGAACCTGTCCATTGAACCATTTTTGAAGCTTTGTCGCAAGATTTCGCGATACACGCTGGTGCTCCTAAAAACCCTATATGCTCGCCCTCTATCTCGCAAAATACAAGACGTACACCGAGTGCTAATCAGTAGTCCCGGGTATCCCATGTGCTACGCAATCTGCTGGCATAGCGACACGAGACAACCTATTGAAGTTAGTGAACTCGTGAAACAATGGAAATTGGGTATCGCCAGATACGAAAGCACTCTCAATACTGAGATTTTAGGTATGCTGTCCTCCTTTCTCATCTAGAAACAAATTTTCGATAGCGGTCTCACTAGAAATCCATGGAGCGCCATCCGTCGAGATCCAAGCAAATGGAGCGGCAGCTCGTTCGCAAACCTGCAACCACTGCCTCAAATATGTCCACGGCTGGCTTTAATGTACTCCATGTGCAACAATTAAGCCCGTCCAATCCAAAGTCACCTAATTCTTCTCCAATCCATCCCAAATGCCACCACTGCGACTAGAGCACTGCACACATTTCCGCCATCTTACCTTCCGCTCTGTAACGCGACAAAGCAGCCAATCCCGCCTATACTTAAACTGCATCTTACGGTGCTGCTGCACTTCCAACCGCTGCAAATTCTACCGATTTAATTTTCCGCTGCTGCAGATTTCGCCGACGCACCTTTGGCTCCCACCTGAGCCATTGTAGGAGCCGTCGTCTCGCAACTGATGAATTTAGCCCCTTTGAAAAGAGTAGGGTCCTATTAGAAACGTTATTATTGAACGTTTCTTTTGAAGATCAATAGAAAGTGGCCTTTTCTTAACCTTTTTTTGGCGTATATTAAATAAACCTTACGGATACCCTAATCTTAGCACAGATTTACAGGCAAACGCCTTTTTTTACGATTGCCTCGGACCAGTCCTAAATGAATGTAATGATAGTAGTTTGACTGTTCCTTCTGTTTTGCACTTGATGCTCTCATTTTTTTTTTTACTCATGTGGATGATTGTAAAGATTCGAACAACAATTCAAAATACTGCAACACAACTTCGTGTTTACCTCTCGAACGGTATTACTTCTGTAGTCATTTTTCTGCATCCCCGCGACCGTTAAGCATAAAAAAGATTGTTCGCCAACTATTTTTGCCAGAGAAAATATGTTATAACTATCAATATGCGAACAACCAAGCCGATTGAACTGAAAGGTAAACTGAACAAGCTCTCGCAAATTTGCATGGTCTAGTTGGCCCTATCTTTTTCCATCAGTGGTGGCAATGGTCGATACTGAAACCAACATGACATGCCTTTATTATGCTTGAATGTAGCTCCGTCTGCTGGCTTAAACATCGGATTTCATTCAAAGATTTGTTCAGCATGTCACCGCAGTCACAGCATTAGCTTAATTGCTCACTATTTTCTCATCGGCATTTCTTCAGTATAATAGAAAGGGTGCATTGGTGCGGACGTATTGTGACAAAAATGTTTACACGTCAGCATATAGAATCTCTCGGTTATGGCTAGACGTACCTAACTAAGTGATTTTGTACGACAATAACCTACATATAAAAAGGGTCAATTGTGATTTTCGTGGTGACCAATTTTTGATCGTGTCACCTATGGAGGTACCGGTCAATATGCAGATGATAAAACTCGGCTGGCTATTTAATATCCATCAGGCTATCATCTCACTAATCCAAAATCCTGCACGATCTGGTAAACAAGGAGTAAGTAACGTACCTTTCCGGTCTACCATTGTTAATGCAACGGGATGTTACCGTTACACTATTTGTTAGAAAGTCATTCCTAACTAGTATACATTTAGGTATTCCCTTTCTAGGTATACATATACATAGTAGGTATACACTGTAGCCAAGTGTAGTGGCTACAGTGTGTCGTAGTCCTACTCTGCTGGTAAGTGGGTGCAGACCCATTATCAGCCAATAAGATGCGACTTTTAGTTGAGTGGCTCTCGTGGCTCAGAGACCACCCGTTCTTAGGATGATTTTGGATAAAACACATAAACATAAAAATCAGAGTTAAAATTAATCTACAAACGACACACGCTTACACGTGTGTCTCTTACGCTTCCTCGTAAGATTAGTGTAAGTAAAGTAACAAGTTCTAGTCCCGTTACACCTGGTAGCACTTCGTTGTCCTTCCAGCGACGTAGACGAGCGCCACGATACAGGGAGCTGCAGGTACGGTATTAGATCATGACGACTGTCAACACCTCAGCACATTCGAGTGGGAAGCACTGCGCCGCTTTGAAGTCGTGGCTAGCATCACTGCTGTGGTTGCCGTGTTGATGGACACTCCGGAGCACCTCCAGCGTGTCGCGATTAAAGGCTATGTCGACCGTGAGCTCGCTGATTTGCGTCGGCGAGCCTCAACCTCCACGGTCGTCAAGACGTCAAAGGTTGTCAAGCTAGACGTCTCTAGCTACAGCGGGGTCGAAGCGCCTCGCTTTCAATCGCTGGCTCTGTGAGGTGGCTATTGCTAACCAAGATCGCCAAATCACGTCTGAGCTCAAGCAACCACTTCCTCCTCTCCAAGTTGACGGGGAAAGCGAAGAAGTGGGCGCTCGGTAAGCTTGTCGCTAATCCAGGAATATTCCCGGATATCAAGGTTCTGAAAGAAGATGTGCGTCTCGCGTTCGAGCCCGGCTGGATGAACACCACCATTGATCGGCTTTTATTGCGTTGAATGAAGGTCGCCAATCGATGCTGGATTACATCTACGTGATCGACACCTGGCGTCGTGCGTTGTCACCGATCCTATTGATTCGGTGACCTGAGTCCACGTGAACATCACGGGTAAGAAACGCTGGTCATCAGCGTTTTTATTTGACGCGGAAGCCTCAGTCGTCGCTTGAAGAAGCGTTCAAGATAGAGTTAAGTGGAGACTTTAGCGTCATGGCCTCGCACATGGAAAATTCGTTGTGCTTTCGTGCTGTTCAAGAGCCCGAGCCTAGGAAAATCGACACGCTTGAGCGCGACCCCTACTCGAGACGTGTTGTGAGCCACGAATTCGAAAACCCGTGGCGACGAGTAAGCTTATCGGTTTACGCTGTCGCAAACCTGTCCACCGCGCGGCAGTATGCCGCGCACCTTCGCCTGTGCTCACTGTCACCGAGTCTGTCATACCTGATGACTCGGCCACTCAGACAAAAAACGTGGGCAACCAGTATGCGCGGGTCATCCTACTGGACGAGGACAAGGGAAAGTTCCCCAGGCGGCTTCAGTTCTATTAGCCCCTCTGCGCTTCACGCGCAGATTTACGCCTTTACGGCCAGCAGCGACAATCGACTGATCGTGCTCAGCGTGTACGTCGACGGCGCGACGAACAACTTCGTTCGCACTGAAAGTTTGAAGATATTTACCTCGTGGATGCGTGTCCGCGAGTCTCCAGGAACGGTGATCGTCAAGCATGCCGATGGTAAACCGAGGACACACCGACAGCGGTTGGTTGTCGTCCCATACCAGTTCGACGGCTTTAGAAGCTGTGACGAGTTTAAGTCATCGACCTCAGCGGGTTGTTTTTTTTTTTTTTGACTGCCATCTTTCGGATGCCGTGGCTCGCACGGCATCGTCCGAACATCAATTGGCTTAACCGCACTGTTTAGCCCCGCGATATCGATGTTAACGCTGTGCTCGCAGTGCTTACTGATCCCACGAGCACCTGGCAGCATGTTGCTGACGTGGATCCAAGCTCCACGAACTTTAGTATCCGCGAAGCGTGCGATGGCCCTTCGCTCGCGGTATAAGCCACCGCGACATGCTCCTCCTCAGTTTAAAAGTACTTCCTGAGTCAAGAATCTACGCCGAGACAGTGGTCTTCGGTGTCCAACGGTCGAGCAACAGCTCCCGTGTGCGGCAATCAGATCAGTATCGCACCGAAGCAGTGGCTTTCGGTGATTCACGCGCGAGCAGCGGCTCATAAAAGCGTTCGAGACACATCAAAACCGCACCGAAGCAGAGTCTTTCGGTGCGTCAAGCGCGAGCAGTGGCCCCCGTGCATGTGAACACCGCGACAGAGCAGAAGCCTTCCTCGTGCGTGCCTGAGTTACATACCACACCAGGGCAGAGGCTTACGGTGTGTCGCAAGCGAGCAGAGGCTCCCGTGTCTGTCCATGATGAGAACATTGTGCCGGAGCACAGGCTATCGGTCACCGTCCACAGTCAACCGCCTGGACCGACTTTAGTGTCGCTCCGCTGTCGGCAACGAAGGACCCGTGTTCGATGAACTCCCCGGGTCGCTGGGCTTGCTTCACTCTCCCCGGTCGAGATAATCAACAACGTCAATTTGACAGGTATTGGTCCTACCAGCCCCCTGTACAGGTTGCTAACCCCCTATCTCTGCGTCTACCATCACGCAGCTTCCTTGAAATTCGTTGGGATGCCTTGCTGCGTTATTTGAAAAGGGGGAGATGACGAATAACTATGTGTTGTCGTCCGAGAGCCAACGCTCGACAACCACGAGCGCCCCGAAGGAATGGATGTTGGCCAATGTTGAGCTTGCACTTGATGAGGTAGAAAGGAAACTGATATTCAAACTGTGCTGTTATGTCCTAGCTATTCTTCTCGCTATCTCGCACACTATGTCTCTGTATCTGCCGCTCTTACTAGGTCGACTTACTGTCGCTGCGCTTCCATTCGCCACCACTCCGATGACGCGCTTCCTGTCTGTTGGCAACTGCAAGCTTCTTCACCCATCTTTGCAGCCCCTTCATCTGTCGACTGTCCTCTTTTACACATGCAAACAGTCGCCGACACCAACTTGATCTGACATGCCGTGCCGCACATCGTGACTCTTCATCCTGATCTTCAACACTCCTCCTTGCCGGCTACTTACACTGCGCTTACACGATGTGTAGCAGTGAACGCAACTTGACCGTCTTGACTGTATCGAGTGCTTTGGTGAGTACGTCCGCAAGCATCAGGTCGCTCGGCACATATTGTGGCACCACAATGCCTCGACGAGCGTAGTCGCACAAGTACTTGACTCTCACATCAATGTGCTTGGCTTTAGTAGACGACGCTTCTCCTTCAATCTGCCGTATCGCTGCCTGGTTGTCAATGAGCATTTTCATCGGTAGTGCAGGCGACTCACCAATTTCACTTAGCGTCTCTCTCACTCCAAGTAGCTCTCGTCCAGCTTCAGACGCTGCCACAAAATCCGACTCCATTGTCGAGAGCGCCACACCTCCTTGCTTTTTCGAGCACCAGCTGATTATCATTCCATTCAGCATGATAACGCTACCGGTCAAAGACTTTCTGTCTGCCTTGTCGGCTTCGTAGTCTGCGTCACTGTAGCTCATTAAAACAGGTTGTGCAGTTTCTTCGACTGCTGGCTTCATGCTGATCTTTAATCCACGCGTGCCACTCAGATAGCGCACGATGCGCTTAGCCAATTTCCAGTCATGAATCCGTGGCTCGTGTGTTTGTCTGGTTGCCTTGTGCACCGCAAATGCGATGTCGGGTCTGGTGCACCTCGCTACCCAGAGCAACGATCCGACAATAGACTGAAATGCACGAACGCTAGGTTGACCTGGAGCACCTGTGTCTGCAAGTCGTCCGCTGTCTGCACATTGAACCTCATAAACATCTGTCCCGATAGGCGCACGACTTGAGTTGGCATCGGTCATGCCGTGGTCACGCAGCAAGTCGACAATCGCCTCCTCCTGGTCAAGAAAATATCCACGATCTTCGCTGCGCGTCACGCGCATCCCCAAAAACTTCGACACTGGTCCAAGATCTTTAATCGAAAGACTTTCGAGGCTTGCGAAAAAACCGTCAACTGCAACAGCGGATGTTCCAGTCACTAGCAAATCGTCCACGTAGACTCCGACGATGACGACTCCATCGATGTCGCGCTTGTAATACAAGCAGAGGTCGCTGATGCAGCGAGTAAATCCGGCTTCCAATAGCCGATTGTTAAGCAATTGGCTCCACAATCGCCCTGCCTGCTTTAAGCCATAACGACTTTTCTTCAGTTCAAGCACGACATCTTCAATCTTCGTTGCACCCAGTTCTTTTAACTCTCTTGTATCAATCGTCATGCCCTTGGGGACATGCATTAGAATCTCGAGATGCTGTTCCTTCTCTGCTTTTACGTAAGCATTGGGGACGTCTCCGTGCTTAGCTGGGACGCCCCATGTAGCAGCTAACGCCAAGATTACTTTCACTGTCGTCATGTCCATGACGGCAGCGAAAGTTAGCGCGTAGTCCACGCCAAAAACTTGTTCATTACCGCAGGCAACGAGGCGCGCTTTGTGCCTTTCCAGACCTCCATCGGCAGTCGTCTTAGTCTTGAAGACCCATTTACTGTGGAGAACGTTGCTTTTGCTTGATCGGAGCGCCAGACGCCACACTTCGTTCCTTTTTAGCGCGTCCAATTCCTCACGCATTGCTTTTTGCCACTCGTTTCTCTTCTTGCTCTTCATTGCTTCGCCATAGTTGCGAGGATCTCTGTCGAACACGTGATTGACGACATCTGCGCTGACAGCTACTTCTCGTTGGCTTGCAGCTGCTTTCTTTGCCGCACCTCTTGTCACGTGTGGCTGGCGATTCCACTGTTTCTTTTTCTTGGGCTTTTTAGTCGCAGTAACATTACTGCTCTGTCTCACAGGTGTTTCAGTGCCTTCGTCTGAATCGGCCCGGTCATCGTCATCAAGGGCTAGTTGCAGCTGCCTGTTCTGGGCTTCAGACAACGTTTCGATATTCTTGACATGCTGCGTCGTGATGACCTTGTTTTCCTTCCTGATGAATACTCTGAAACCCTTGGTTTCGTCACTGCATCCAACGATCGTGCCCACTTGAGCGCGGCGCGCGAACGCGTTCTTGCTTGGATCACGGTAGACGGTACAGTGGGAGCCAAACACGACGATGTTGCGCAAATCCGGCGATTTGTTCGTGAGAACTTCAAGCGGCGACGCTCTCTTAGGATTCGAATTCGTGGGGCTCCTGTTCAGAGTATACGTGGAGTATTCAGCGGCATCACCCCAGAACGTTAGGGACAATCCAGACGCGAAGATCATCGCTCGTGTCATGTTTAAAATGGTCCTGTGCATTCTCTCGGCTTTCCCATTCGACGCTTGATTTCGCGCTTCACTCACTTGTCTTGCGACGCCTGTCGATTTGCAAAACAGGTCAACATTCTGGTATTCTCCACCGCCATCTGTTCTGAGAACCGCGATTCTGCACTCAAATCGTCGCTCAAAGAACACCAAGAAGTGTTCGAACTTCTTTGCCGCAGCGTCCTTGGTTCGAGCTAAGAAAACTCGACAGTAGTTGGTCTTGTAATCGATGAAGTTGATCAGATATCGGTTTCCGAGTCGATCCGCAGGCGTTAGTGGGCCTTTTAGGTCCAAGCAGATGACACCGCCGATGCGGTCGATCGGGGCGTTCTGTCCAGAGTCTTTCTGGTTCTGCTTGTTTTTTTGTCTGCTTGGATTGTGCGCACGTGATGCATGTCATCCGTTTGTGGTCTGTCAGCTCGATACCCGAGCTTGGATTTCTCGCGACCTTTTCAATTGCATCGTACGACAGATGCCCCAGGCGTTGATGAAAGTGTAGCAGAGAGCCACGATGCATCTCCGAAGTCATTTCATCTGCTGCCTTTTCCTGAATGGCAGCCATTATGACATCCGCTGTCTCTTTTTGGCGTACACTCTTTTTCACCGTCTCGACGATTAGCACACTATTCTCCATCGTCACGTCGAACGCGACCTGGCCATCACTCCGTCGAGCTACTGATCGTTTGCCATTAGAATACTTAAGACTGTATCCCTTTTGATCAATCTTGCCATAGCTGATGATGTTGCGGACCAGACTCGGTGAATAGTAGACGTTCGTGAGTTTGACTGTTTTTTCTTGTCCATTGGCAGCCACGGAGAGTCTCACACTACCGAACTTGGACAGACCGACCTTCTCGTTATCGGCTAGCGAGACTACATCATTGCAAATCTCTGCGTCGATCAGCAGGCGATCGTCGTTCACCAGGTGTCGACTGGCACCGCTGTCGAGTATCCAGTTGTCGTTCAAATTGTCGCTGTCGTCATTAACAGCAAGAACCACCTCGCCGTCGTTCTTGGCGCTCTTGTTGACGTTCCTTTTTGACCTGCAGTCAATCCTCAAATGACCTTGTTTGCCACAATTGTAGCATGAACGCGTCTCCTTGCGACGCCTTTCATCAGTGACAGCGGCGACTAACTCGCGTCCCAACGTCCTTCCGGTCTTGTTCTCGAGCTCAACAGACTGTGCAAAATGCGCAAGCTCTTCAGCTTGGCGCAAATGATCGTGTCGGTCATTGTTGTACTTGGCCATCAAAACTGTTGTAAGATCAGCCGACGCATAGTGGACAATGTTGTCGAGAACTTGTGCTTCTGCACCTCCACCGCAGGCATCGCATACAGCAACCATATACAGGTAGTGTTCAGGCCAAGATCTCTTGGGATCTTTCCTTGCAGTGAAAAGTTCCATGCTTTGCGACGCCGTGATTGAAGTCTTGAATGTGTGTAGCAACCGGCCCATAGCGTGATCGAGAGAGGCTTCTTCGAGCCACCAAACGTCCACTTGTTTTTGATAGTACCGCTCTGCTGTCCCACTTAGGTAGTGTCCCAGCAAGTCGACCTTGACATCTTCAGCCCATGCAAATCCGCAGGCCTGCTGCGCCATAGTGACTTGGCGCAAGAACGTGCGACCCCAGTCAGCAAAACCCGATCCGAGACCCTGGTACAGTTCTGTACCATCAAACTTGCGAATAGCAAGCTTACGTTGGCGTGCGTCCGGGACACGCAACGGCAACTCCTGCGTCGGTGCCTGCTGCATTGGTGGCACAGGCGCATGAGCATCTTCAAAATCTGGAGGCGACACTGGCGCATAGCGTGGCGCCTGTGGTCGAGCAGCGCTCGCTGGCTGTCGCGGACCGACATACCGTGGACCGAACTGCTGGAATAGCGAGTCACCAGGTTGCGTCACGCGAACACGTCCACGCGGCTGCCTCGGAGCATCATATCCTAGCGCGTCACGATGTAGAGTCGTACCGCCCATGCCGCGTCCCAGCGCTGACGCAAAAAAGCCACTGTCGATCGCGCCTCGCAGTCGCTCGTCCTCGTCGATCTGCATCTGCGACGCCTCGAGCGCTTGCATGCGATCCGTGAGTGCAGTCAGCATTGTGAGGATCCTTTCGTCGGTCCCCGCACCCCTTTCGTGGGCTTGGGTATCGCTAACAACGGCGGCCCTTTCGTGGCCGTGGTCTGCAGGTGCAGAAGTCGTCATATCATCAGTCGGATGAGCCATTGGGTCTTGGGCTCATAACCTGTTGGCCAATGTTGAGCTTGCACTTGATGAGGTAGAAAGGAAACTGATATTCAAACTGTGCTGTTATGTCCTAGCTATTCTTCTCGCTATCTCGCACACTATGTATCTGTATCTGCCGCTCTTGCTAGGTCGACTTACTGTCGCTGCGCTTCCATTCGCCACCACTCCGATGACGCGCTTCCTGTCTGTTGGCAACTGCAAGCTTCTTCACCCATCTTTGCATCCCCTTCATCTGTCGACTGTCCTCTTTTACACATGCAAACAGTCGCCGACACCAACTTGATCTGACATGCCGTGCCGCACATCGTGACTCTTCATCCTGATCTTCAACAATGGAGACGAATTTGGCACGCAAAGAGCGCTTCAAGGCGCAATTATGCGAAGAGCTCGCCGCTTCCAACAACCCGTCCCTCACACTAGCGCGCGAGTTTGCGGATGTCTTCCCTGACAAAACTCCAGCGGTTTTACCGGCCGATCGCGGCACACGGCACGAGATTGATCTCGTATTAGGTTATACATATTTTAATACACGACAATGTCCACTTCCACGGGATCACGTTGAAGCAATTGACGCCTTCTTTGAAGGGCGTCAACAGGCAGGCCACGCGCACGAAAGCACCTCACCCCCATTCCAGCCCCACGTTTTGCGTCGAGAAATCGACAGGCGGATGGCGGATATTCCACGCTTACAGCAAGCTGAACGACGCGACGATTCCAGCCCAGACTCCGGTACCTCGCAAAGACATGGTGCTCGACATCATGTCTGATAGTAGCATCTTCTCTTCGCTGGACCTCAGGAACGGCTTTTATCAGATATTGATACGCCCTCAATATAACCTTCTCACCGCTGTTATCACGCCTAGCGGCATGCTGTGGGAATGGTTCTTGATGCACAGGGGCTCAAGAACGACCCTGTTACCTTCAACCGGATGGTGTCACGTGTGTTGCGCCCATTTTTCGACTTCGCTCCAAGCTAATTCGACGGTGTCTTCGTGCACAGTCGTGCCGCTGCCGGCACGACCGACCTCGCGGTCCACCTCAGACACCTTCTTTAAGTATTTGAAGCGATGCGTGAAAACAGGCTCTAAGCCAATCTTAAAAAATGCATCTTCTGTGCACCGGAAGTACCGGTGCTTGGTAGCTACGTCAGCTCGAAAGGGAAATGCGCTGACCCGGAAAAGATCTCTTTGATCTGCTCATGGCCTGCTCCACAAGAGACGAAACATCTTCGCAAATGGCTGGGTCTAGTTAACTACCTACATCACTATGCCAAGGACTTTGCTGCTGGATTCACCCATTGTCTTAACTGTTGAAGAAGGACGCCACATGGTCGTGGTGTCAGGAGCACCAAAATGCTTTCGATGAGATCAAGAAAATACTTTCTACAGCGCCAGTGCTGGAGCCACCTGATCACTCTAAACCATTTCATGTGGTATGCGATGCGAGTGAATCGCTATTGGATGTGCTCTCATGCAACATGACAGCTAAGGCACTGAACGAGCGATCAGCAATCAGTTGCGCCATTTGAAGCCGGCGGAACGCAATTATCATGTACGTGATAAGGAGTTGCTGGCTAGAGATATGCTCTCGTCAAGTTTTGCGTATACCTGCTGGGCGAGCGGACGTTCGCTCTATACACTGATCATGCCTCTTTGCGCACGGCAACAAAGAGCCCCCATCTCATCCAGCGCATGGCGCGCTATGTTGTCATTTTTTGCTGAATACAGCTTCGTTGTTCATTATAGGTCTGGTACAAGTAACATCCTTGCCGACGCTTTGTCGCGTCGGCCTGACTATGATCCGCGTTCTACTTTCACGGTTCCTGCTTTGACCAATGACGATGACGATGAATGTGTTGCTTGTGTCGAACTAGGTGTGAAGCGACGCAAGTTACTGTGGATACCCCCTCTTCGAGTCGAATTCGCGGCAGCTTACACCCACGACGACTTATACGCACCGATCGTTCGATACTGTCGTGACCCGTCTGAATTGACGCTGCGCGATCCCGCAGCGTCGTCTCAAGCACAGGTTTCGCGTTACTCACTAACCGGCAGCTTGCTCATGTACCATATCGATCAGTTTGACCCCCTCTCTCATCGTCGTCCCTATTGAAGACGATATACGTGCTCGTGTTCTTTACGAGCACCACGACAATGCGACCAGTAGACACTTGGGTCGCGAGAAGACGTATTTGTCCATGTTACGTGCTTTCTACTAACCCCACATGTATAAGTGGGTCCGAAAATGGGTCGCTCATGCGAGGTATGTCAGCGTGTCAAGCCCTAGTCCTTTTCCCAAATCTTCATTGTGCTCTTTACCAGTGGCGACCGAGGCATGGAACTCGTTCAGCATGAAATTTATCTTTGGTCTATTCGCCGTTGCGCAAGGGCGCACCGGCATTTTAGTGGTCGTTGACCGCTTCAGCAAGATGGTGCATCTTGCTCCTGACGCTGCGTCCAATACCGCAGAGGACACAGCGAAGTTGTTCATCGACATCGTTTCCAGACACCATGGTTTGCCTGAAACGATTGTCTCTGATCGGGACTTTCGCTTTACAGCTGGGTTCTGGTCGCAGCTGTATACCCTTCTAGGCACGCGTCTACTATTGCCTACGGCTGCTTATCTTGAGACATGTGGGCAGACTGAGAGCGCAAATTGTGTGCTGGAGGACTTCCTACGCAGTTACGCCGCGTCGTTCACGTCATGGAGTGCGTTTCTCCCCATAACCGAGTTTGCTATGAATAACGCGGTTCATGCGTCGACCTGCCTTACAACCATCTTCGTCAACAACGCTCGTTATCCTCGTCCCCCTGTTCTTCTCGGTCTACCTGATATCTCTACTCTTGGTGGGGGAGGGACGCCAGACGAGCTGGCATGGAGTGACAGTGCACCAGCGACGATGTCGCCTCCTTGTGACAAGGTGACACTGTAGACGAACTGGCATCTACTGAAGATACAGCAGTGACCGTGTCTCCGTGTGACCATGGCGAACCTAAGACTGTGTCTATCAAAGATGGACTGAAATCAGTAGTTTGTAAGACAGCAGTGAGCACTTCTCACACCCGAAATCCGTGCGAGGTAGTCATCGACCACTAAATGTCGACGACATGACTCAAAGGGTCACCGAGTCTTTAATCAACCCCACGCGCCTTACAGACCATTTCAGACGCTCTCAACGAGCGTCACCTACGCTTGACTCATGCTCAGACGCGTCGCCGCCGAGCGATCGTCTTGCTGACTCGGTGGTCATCAAAGTGTGTGTTTATCAGCGTCAGTTTGTCATGCGTTTTGTGCGTGACGCTATTGCAAACGCGGTCGACAAACATATAGCGGCCGCTGACAAGCGCGGTCGTACCTATCACGAGAAGCTCACCATCGGCAAAAAGGTACTACTATCGACAACAGGCATCCAAGACACGGCTATTACCAACGTTGGTGGAAACAAACTGGCGCCAAAGTTTATTGGTCCCTTCAAGTTGATATAGACGATGGGTGATGCCTATACTCAGACATTCCTACGGCTATGCGACTACAACTGACATTTTATGTCGGGCCTCTTAAGCGGTATCACCCGTCGCTTCTCCCGACGCAGATGGATGTTTCGGGGGCGCATAGCGTGACCCCCGATGTCGCGGAGGCCTCGGCGGATCAGGTGGACGCTGACCCCTCAAGATTGCGTTCTTCCGCCGTAGCGCCTCGTTTAACTTCTCAAGACGCTCGAGTCGCCGAGAAAACCCGGTGACAGTTGTCTCAGTCGCCAGTGAGCGACCGTCCGCCTCCGCCGCCAGATCACGAGCCTGGTGAACGTCGTTTTCAACGAATTTAACACGACGCCCAACGTCGCGGAGCTGCCCCGCGACCTCTCCAACCTATGCGAGTGCCCCCTCCACAGGCGCTGCAGTCATGTGCGCCGTTCCAGTGCGATGGTCCTCCTCCACTGGTTGACGGCGCCGGAAAGATACGCTAAATAGTGGATCGTATTGTCGATCACCGCGACCTGAAGGTATCTCCTCGTCACGGTGATGATCGCCGTGACGCTCATTGCGAACAACTGGATACACGACTGTATCGCGTTCGCTGACTCGGCTTCCCTGCTGAAAGTGATCCGTGGCAGCCGCGTAAGGCGCATCTCGAAGACTTTCCAGACGTAGTGCAGGCAGATGAGGCCGCGGAGATCGAGATTGCGGACGATAGACGGTCCGCGATGCAAGGGGACTTGCAGATGAGATCAAGTACGATGACTCGATCTCACCAAACCTCGCTTAGCCAAGCGCGCGCTAGACTGGCCGCGCTATCAGCATCCGATTCAGCGCTTGCTCGTGGCGCCCTATCCAAGGGCGCTCCTCGTCTGATAGCGGGTATCTGGATAGCAGATTAGTCCATGCAGCATGATCAGGCTCTGCCACTCCACTTGACGTACACCGTCGAAAACTTTCACAATAGTGGACGAAGCAGCAATTTCTGTCGGCGTTCCAAGACAAGTCGCAGACCCGCACGCGCAGGTCAGCGACTTCACGATGGCTCATATCGACTTATCGTCGCTCCACTAGTTGTGGGGCCGACTCCTCCATGGTCTAGCGCGTCACGAACGCTTTCAAAGATGCATATAGTGATGCTTGGGTCACGGCGAGTGTGACCGTGACGGGCTTGCCCCGCGTCGCTCTCCATTGTCACCATAACTGGCACATCTCGTCGTCGCTGCGTGCGCGTCGAATGCCATTACAGTCGTAGAGCTATACGCGTGCAGTGATTGGTCAATCGTGTTCGCGCCGCTTGTAGAAGTGTCTGGGGTGTTCGCGCGTTCATAGTTGTCGCCTGCGAGCTAATCAAGGCGACGCGTGCTTCTGTTGTTGAAGCTTGAAGAAATGAAGCTGTGAAGCTGTCAAGCCGAAGCTGTCTTCACCGCGACGTGCGAGGTGCTGAAGAAATAGCTCGTTTTTGTTTCTTTTGTTATGTTCTTTCGCACGTTAAGTGCAATTTCGAGTGGGGGGTGGTGTGACGGGGTGTTACCGTTACACTACTTGTTAGAAAGTCATTCCTAACTAGTATACATTTAGGTATTCCCTTTCTAGGTATACATATACATAGTAGGTATACACTGTAGCCAAGTGTAGTGGCTACAGTGTGTCGTAGTCCTACTCTGCTGGTAAGTGGGTGCAGACCCATTATCAGCCAATAAGATGCGACTTTTAGTTGAGTGGCTCTCGTGGCTCAGAGACCACCCGTTCTTAGGATGATTTAGGTTAAAACACATAAACAATAAAATCAGAGTTAAAATTAATCTACAAACGACACACGCTTACACGTGTGACTCTTCGCTGCCTCGTAAGACCTTAGTGTAAGTATTGTAACGGTTTTTAGTCTAGTTACAATTTATGTAACGGGGTGCCTCCGTTACATGATAGTTTACCTAAGGCAATTGTCAAGAATCACCATTCTATAAGGACGAACCATATGTCTTACAATATTGGATACTTAAGTAATTTCGTTCTGCAGAAATAATAAACTGCTCGTTGATAACTATGGAATAACGTAATCAACTAAAAAAGCCGAGCCACCATAAAAGATCACAATGAGTGGTGCGCAGATAGTTTCAATACATGCTTGTATATAGATGTAGTTGTAAGAGGACTAAATAGGATTTATTGACAGGAGATCAACCGTACTAAATATTGTTATACTTTACCCTTTTCTCAAGTTAGAATTTTCCTCTGCATGACGCGTGTACGTATATTATCGAGGCACCACCTTACTCTGTGTTCAGTGGAAGTAGCTTCTACTGCGAGAGTACATGTGACTGGTGCCCCGTAACAGGTTGATTGTAGTCAGCATTAAGAATTATATCTAGAGAAGTCAAATTTGACTTTTTTAAAATTTACTTTTATATTTAGCTTTTACCATAAGGTTGTGCTTTCTGCTGCACTTCAATGTGTACGTGATATTAAAACTCAACAATCTTGATGTGTAATGTGAATTACGATTACGGAAAAAGCTAGATTTTGGATGCGTGCACACAAAACTTGTTTAATGGAATATGGCATCTTCGAATTAGTATTAAATGCAGATTTTAAAGTAATGTAAGGACGCTTAGCTTTACTGCTTAAACTATCGTGTTCATGATTGTCATATCATTGTGTCTTTTGTGGCGCGACAAAATCTTTGTGTTTCAATGGCTTGACGGATAACCCGTAATCAATACCATTATATATTTGTGGACGAGGTTACTAGTCAAGCGTACGCTAATGAATATTCTAAAACACGAATTGCACTCCGTCCTGCCACAATATTGTCACGATTTGCTCGATGACGTGCTAATGCATTAAGGTTCTCGTGATGACGAGCATTTAGTTCACAGCTCACATAACAGGTATAAGTTTGTACATGGCTTGAACTTAAATCGGATATGGGCACGGTGTACGAAAATATGTTTCGCGGTGGCTAAAACATACATTTGTACGTGTGGCCCCTGCTGATTTACTATAATGAGATTGTTAATAATTGTTGGGTATCCTTAACGATGAAATACACCACATATCTAAACAGCATTTTTAAATTTAGGAAACTAACTGAGCAGTGAATATCAGCATCGGTATTCAGAGAAGTGATCCGGAATAGATAGAATATAAATAGATGTATTATTGTAGATATACGGATTGTCTTTACGAAATTGAACAAGTGCCCATTTTTAGTCAATAAAGCCATTCATTTATTTGTTTGAGCTTTTCCATCAACATGCAATCGATGTTTTGATTTATTCGCATAAAATGTGTCGGTTAAATGGTGCGGTGAAGCAGAAGCATGATTGTGTGCGGTATCATCATACAGATTAGCTCGGTTCAGACCGTGTTGGTCAGCCAAAAAGAAAAAGACTTTAAGTCAATAACAAGGCAATTTCTGAAAAAAAGGTTTCAAAGGTTACTGATCTTTGAATAGTATTAGCTCAACTGATCGATCTGGAAAGATATGTGTCAACTAGGAGATTCAGACCTTCACATCAACTACTAATCGCTGCTAGAAAGCTCAATCGGCGGTGAGCTATAAATCACCATTTCAATTTAATTATACAATCAAAGTTATGACTAGGAAAGCGTTTTAATTATTATGTCACTGAGTTCATGAGACTATAAATTTACCTTTATATTTCTCCCCCAGAGTAAGTTTACTTCACACATGTAAAAAAAGTTTTGAGTATTCGGTTTGCTCTGTATCAGAGTAGCGTTATGGTCGCTTACTTGTAGTTTTCAAAAGATATTCATTTAGTCGGACAAAAGTAAATTGAGGGAAAAATCGAGGTAAAGAATATTATTTTTCATACAAGCATCGAGGTAAATTTGTGGTATTGGCCCTGAGAGTGTCATCCTGGATGCTGAGGAGTAGTTGTTAGCCATGATTATGTATTTTTGATGACAGATAATGAAAGATAAATGCACTACTTAAGATATTGATTTTCTCGATCTTAGTAAATGATCCTCTTCTTCAACTCCTTCTTTACCTATCCTTGTAGTCTCATGAGTAATGCGCCACGTAAGCGCACTCTTATCCTCTTTTTTAATGAGTAAAATAGCTGATCACCCGAGAGTCAGGTAAAAAAATTAAACCTTGTTCCTCACAAAGAGCACCAAACCCCAATAATTTTACCAGCATTGCTATGTGTTTTTGATCTTGTGCCACAACCTGAAGCAGGTTTACAAATGAAAGGTGGGTACTTACAACGATGGTGTCTGGGTTATCTGGGAAGAAGAGATTATAATTGGGGGTGTAAGTGAGGTTGAAGGTTCCCTTGAAGTTTCTCACTCTTTTACCCTTCCAAAATGACTTTACTAACGTACTCATATGGCGCCACCATTATCCAATTACTAGTACTCCTGGTAAACTAAAGAAACGTCTTCACCGCAATTTAAAGTTAAAATTAGGAGGACTTTCGTGTAAGCCACCGATCTCTACGCACTATATCGTACAATAAAGCAAGAACACAGCCATAATTTTACCTCGGTATCCGAGAATTTCAGTCTTGGGAATGACGCTATTAGCAATTTGTAGCATTAAACATATCAAAAGATTAGGATCTTTACGCACATCTTATTTTCCTCGAGAGTGTTGACTTCTTGATGCACGGTGTGTGTGAAAAAAAAAACAATCACATGAAAATTGCTTATATTAGCTGTTAATCGTAGTGGATAGTAGTATAGTGCAAATACGAGATCGTATGAGAGCCTGTACGTTTTGATTGCAACGCATTAGCGAATCTTTGGGACTGTCGTCGGTTCTTTGATGGTGAATACTTACGTTTGTCGTATATAAAAGCGCTTGGTTCCGTGAGAGCGTTTAGAAATGACATGAGGAATGAAGCCTTGGAGTGAATCGTAATTCGTGATGGCTTGTACGGAAATAGTTGTTACTCAAAATGAAAATGGAGGATAGGGGATACTCATCGATGCATCAAATAATGGCAACATAATGTGGATCAGCAGCAAGCAAGCAGTACCTATAGCACCATAAGAAGAAGAAGTTGGGCTCATCGCGAGGTAAGCTAAGAAGGTTTGGACTGGTAAAGGTCGAATAACTGACACGAAAAATGAAAACATGGACTTAACGACAGGTGATCGTTCCTTCGTGGATGACTTCTTCGAATCTAATCTCCTACCAACCGGCTGCTTCGAGAAAATGACAGCACAATTCACGCATTTTTAATTTGATCCTTGGAACCATTGGTTACCGTGAAATCGTTTCATTGGAACTTAACGGCGTTAACATTCAAAATTGCATTGCACTCTTAGTGAAATTATGCTTAATTTAATTAGTTAAGTCGAGTTTTAATCGAATGAAGGGATGTTTTTTATTTGAAAGTGCGGTCTTACCATAGTATACATACCAGATGTATACACAACCCGTCTACGTGGTTACATGTATCCTTTTAACTCGAGCTTAAGCTGAGTGGTCGGTTTTTTACTGAGCAGATGGAGAGTTACAATTACGGGGCCTTTTCACTATCTTAAACAAGCCGGCTTTCAGTTATGGCGATTCTGCAGGAACGTGAAGACATTAAATGCATACCTTTGTTTTGAATTCGGAAATAGGGACAGCGTCCACGCTGTAAGGCACAATGAAACAAATAGAACATTGTGCGGA